CATATGTGCAGCATTATTCTGCCACTAATGACTTTTCTCTGTCCATGAAAGTGCGAAAAACCTTGACCTCAACTTTATCGAAATACGTGGAACAGTAGATCATGTTTCCCCCATCGAGCGAGACACATTGCTTCTTTGTTCCTGGATTCCTCATGCTACACGCCTTCCTTTCACAGATTCACGGACTCATGGGAGGATACACAGGATCAAGGCTTTTGCCCAAGTTTTCCGGGTTGGTTTTGTTCTTGTCGACCAGTGGCTGTCGTTCACCTGAAAGGCATAAGTGAAAAAAGGGTGCGGCACTGCTCTTTATGTCCTCAGCGCGGGGCAGTATGCTTGTCAGCATGGTGATTCGCATAAATAAATGTACAGTAGTGCTTGGAACTGGGTTCTAGAAGGGGCTTAGACAACCATCGGAGGAAGGTCATTCCACGCAGCTACTACTCGAAATGAGAAAAACTTTTGTCTAAAGAATGTGTGCGCTCTGCGTTTGAAAATTTTCTTGCTATGTCCCCGCCATGTGATTTCTGGGGCGATGGTGAAAAACGTGTTTGCCAAGCTTTGTTCAAACAGGGCATAAGTAAGAATCAGGTCCCCTCGGAGGTGGCGGTACTCCAGGGGAAAGAGATCGAGCATTGCGAGGGGTTCGTGCGCCACGGATTTGACGCCGACACCCATTCTCGTGGCGGCCCGCTGGACACGCTCAATGGGGGTGGCGTCTTTCGTGCATCCTGAGTAGACGACTTGGTTGGCGTACTCCAGGAGCGGTCTGACGTAGGCACCATAGAGTATTTGGAAGTCCATGCGAGTAATACGGGAGAAGGTGCGTCGGATCATCCGTAGAAGGGCGAATGCCTTTTGGGCCGGTTTCCCATGCAAAACAGAGACATTCACTGAGCATCCTCTAAACGACATATGGACGCACTTTTTTCATTCAGAGGAAGATGGTAGTCAAACGACCACTCATTTGCAGCGTCTACATCCATTTGAAAGCAGATGATGCACTGGAACTCCAGGATTTCAGGTCGTCCACAAAAAGTAGACATGGACTCGCAAGAAGGTCTGGGAGGTCGTTGACGTAGATCAGAAACAGCACTGGCCCCAGGACGGAGCCTTGAGGAACTCCGATGGAGACCGGCGCTGGGGAACAGTCGGTCGAGCCTATGCTCACACGGAATGATCTGTCTGATAGGGACGCCTTGATCCAGCGAAGGATTTTACCTCGAATCACGTAAGACTCGAGTTTCTGGAGCAGCGGGACGTGTGGGACCCTATCAAATGCTTTTGAGAAGTCGAAAAATATGGCATCCGATACGAGTCCTCCGTCTTTGACTTGGGTTAAGCTGTCCATAAACACGAGCATGTTTTTCACGCAAAAGCAGTTTGGGAGTAATCCGTGTTGAGCTGGAGACATCAGTGTGCTGGAAGTAAAGTGATCTAGGATAGCTCGCTTCAGAATGCGTTCCATCACCGTGCACGGCACGCTAGTGAGATTTGTAGGCCTGTAGCTGCCAGCCGATGGTCGGTCACTAGTTTTGTAGATTGGCATGACAATCGCTTCCTTCCAAGCAGAGAGGAGGTGGCCTTCGTCAAGCAACTGATGAAACACCAGGTTGAAATGGTTTGCCAGCGTGGAGGACGTTTCCTTCAGGATCCTTGGATGAACCTCCTCGGCCCCGACGCGCAGAATGGGTTGATCTGGTGCAAAAGTTGAAGAATGTCCTCCACCGTAAAAACCAGGTTGGTTAGATGCTGCTCGTAGTTCCGCTTTGACAACAGTGGATGTAGCGAGGACGCTGGGGCTGAGCATAGACACGCAGTGTTCTCTGTAAACCTCAGACACCACCGTTGGGTCACTCGTCGGTTCTCCGTTCCTGTCCCTCAAGGAGAACGCGGATGGCTTGCCTCTGCGGCAATGTCTTATGTACTTGAACAGTACGTTTTTGTTTATTTCGAGCGAGGCCCAGAATGATGGTTTGTTTTGTATGGTTCCATTGTCGGATTTCTGATTTACAGCGGTTCCGCCTTTTACGAAATGCAGACCCTTGTGGTCAACTTCATATAAAATGTTGGGACCTTTTTTCCAGAAGTCGCCGAAACCTTTTTGGCAGCCTGCAGTTCACCCGAGTGCGTGCTGGTTTTTTGGGACGAATATCGCATCAGCCGCGTGAACTTTCTGGACAATGGTCCTATATATAACTCCTCCACTGGAGCTGGTCCCATTGTGACTTGTTCGAGGAAGATGCGCATTCCTGAGAAGTCTGTACGGCAGAAGTCTCGAAACGACGTTTGAGGTTTGAGGCTTCTGGCCCAATAGCAGATGAAATCAAAGGTCAGCACACAGTGGTCGCTATGTTTCAGTGGAGGATTAATTGTTAACTGATCAACGAAGTGTCTTTCGTTGGTGGTGACCAAATCCTGGAGAAATGGTAGCTGGCCTGCTCAATATCTGGTGGATGCAACGACATGTTGATTCACAGCGCCCTGTTGAACGACTTCAATCAACGCCGCTGCAAAATGTCCGCATGTTTGGACCCACTGGACCTCCGTCCGGGAGGCCTTTGGGGCGTTGAAGTCACCTATCATCATTAGATGAGTGAAGTGTTAGTTGGAGGAGAGTTGCTCAGGGGTTTGTATGAGGAATTGGCCAACTCCAGGGGGTTCGAGGGGCTACGGTCGACCACAGTGTGGAGGAGGGAATCGGACACGCGTAGCGGGATTTAAACCCACAGTGCATCGCATTGGGTGCGGGGGTGGTGCCAGAGAGGACAATCGGGATTGGTAGGGCCGCATGTAAGTATAGTGCAACCCCACCAGCCCTCCCTCGTTTCGAGTCGCCTCGAAAAATAGGGTAAGCGTCTATCAAGATCTCCGCGTCAGAGATATCTGGCGTAAAACAGGTCTCTGTGAGTGCGATTATGGACGGTTGTTCAAGGCAAGCTGACTGTTTAACATCACCGAGCTTGTTGAAAAGGCTGAAGCAGTTTGTAGACAAGTATTTCAACACTGTATCTGCTGCCTCCGAGGGTGAGGAGCCGAAAGTTGAGTGACCAGGATGGTTAGCATGCTTAATAGTTGTGCGCCGGGTTTTATCTCCAAGGCTCCAAAGGGGGCCTCTGGCGCGATGTAGTCTGCTTCCTTTCTTCGTGGTTAATGGGGTGCTTTTTCTTGAGAGGTTTTTTCTTTCCGTGCGAGCCCGATGTGCTCGGACTTTTTACCATTGGTGACGGAGTTTTTCCCCGTGGGCTAAAATTTCAACCGTTGCTGCTTGTAGCTCTTTCAGCACCCGCTTTTTGGAGACCAGATTTACTGTTGGTCAAAGATTTTCGGCAAGCTTTCACTTTCCTTGATTCTTAGGTGTTTTGGCGCGGTCTGACCGGAGATGTGTCTCTGTCGGGTTCTAAGCGCTGGGTGGCGGCACCAAGAAGCAGTGATTTTGGTGGAGCTCCCAAGAGACTCGTTTTTGCGGAGGACTGCGTCTTGAAGCCAGCCAGCAGTTTTCTAATCTGGCGAATTTTATGTGGCTTCTTTGGCTGCAGTCGCTCTTCTTTCGTGTTTGTGTAGACGCCCGATCCGCCGGCGATCAGCGTGGCCAACTGGATGTACGAGGGATTTTCCGGTTGGCTACAGGTGTTTATGGCTTTGATTGTCGGGGTCCTGAGCGACGGCTGTGTCCACAAGCAGAGGCCGATTTCTGACGGAGTGGAGCTGGAGGTTGGCTTTGCCGCTTGCCCCCACATATCTAACTCAGTACAGTTCAAGGGATGTGGCTTCGTTGAGGAGCGCATGGCTGCACCAGTGTCGTCCGTTACGGAGATAGCTCTACGTACTTTGGGCGCTGTTTGCATGTGAGGTTTGCCTCCTTTAGGGCATCACCGCCTTTGGTGGGCAAGAGGCCTGTGGTGGTCGAATAAAAACTGCTGTCCGGCCTGCTTTCGGGAGATCAAGGGGATATGACCACAATCGGCTTGATCATGAGTTTGGGGTCGGCTGAACTGGTACTCAGCGGAGGCCTGTTTCGTGCCTCCATCCCCGACTTGCTGTGACCAAGCTTTCGCGTGTCTAGAGGGCGATCCTCAGATAGATGCCTGATCATTGGGCTAGCCTTTTGAACGCTCCCAGCCCGTTCCAAGATCTTCTGTATGTCAGGTGGGTAGGAAAGAGTGACCAGAAGCCCAAGAGTTCGCTTGCTTCCTTTCCGCGTAACCATTCTGCGTGGAGCGATTGAGCAGGCTTGCTGAAGACATTGCTGAGGTTCGATTGTTTCAGCTTCGCCGGCGTGATTTTTCCGGAGAATGACCACCAGATTATCAATCTGTTTCCTCTTAAGCGCCCGTCCACTAGAGACGTTGTGGCGGTCTTTATAGCCGCTTCAGAAAGTTGTGACTTTCTTCGCAGCCGGGGGACCCAGTATGGATACCGAGAGGTACTCGTTCAGGGAAGAAAGTTCCTTTTCAACTTTCATCCAAGTCGCTGCATTCTGGGTGTCTAAATCCTCCAGTGCCTTAGAAAGACTCTCCAGTTTCGCGTCAAGTAGCCCGATCAAAGCGAGTGATAAAATTCAACAATTACTCGTGTGTACTCTGTGAATAGATTGAACAAAGAAAACGTTCTTTCAAAATTTGCACGAGGGAAAACGAAACCAGTTTCGGACGCAACGCACAGTCGTTCCTTTCCACTTATCACTGACTCGTACTCGACATACAGCAGGAGTACTTGCAGTGGTATGTGAATAAACATTGAACCCACGGAGTGTTGAGCGATGAGGTATCTACCTTCAAACGACCAGGCAGCCGAAAATTGTTTTGCATCCACAAACCGTACATACATTTAAACTCAACCCAAACTGTGACCTCGGGATCGGAGAAAGAATAGGTTAGGGATTTCGAAGAGTGTCAAGCTTTAAAGGAAGTACATGGAGATGGTACTGGAAAACCATCATGACGAGTAATCCAAGGCTCACCAATGTCTCTACCCGGAATATTTTTCCCAATAAAACCTCACAAAAGACGTACAAAGGCTTCTATCTTCAAAATGGCTTCCTTTGATCTGGCTCCACAACAGCCCCAGTCCTCAACACGTCGGAGATCCTCTTTATACTTCAGGAAACCTGCACTCCCCATTAAGCCACCCTGACCCCAGAAATATCTATCCGGCGCGGCTACGTCCAATACTGACGCAAACCAGGTTCTACCACCTGCATAGCTGGGCATCGCTAGATTTCCAGTACTGAAAGTAGATCCATCTCCACGGAGGGGTTGTCGAACTTCTCTACGAGATTCGGGAGGCTCTACTGCCACAGGCAGCATCCACTCAAAAGTCCTCAAGAAATGCGTAAATTTGCTAGACAAATATCTTTCTCCCACCTGCTCATCCTACTCAGGTAGCCCCCATCACATGACTCCTGCATGAACCCGGTGCAAATTAGTGAAAACAAGCGCAAAATACTGGGTCTACCCGCCCGCTCACTTACGACCTCGTTCAATAAAATCGGCACGGTTTTCTACATCCTTGTTTCTTGTCTGACATTACCACAGGTTCTAAGAATGACAATCAAACCGAGTAAGTTCGATTTTGTTATTCTTATGCCTAAGAGAACTTATTTTACGGCCCCACATATCATCGCTTGGAACATAGAGGAGCCTGATTCTTGCCATCTGAACGTTCCTCTACCATTTGTTCAACCACCGCCAGCGGCACATTGGCGATTTTGCCCCAAAAACATTACAGTGCGAACCTATTACATCACCCACGTTTATTATTTCGCTTTGTGTTATATTTTTTTATCGAATGCCCAAACATACTCTGCATCGATCGTTTATACTACGGAAAAGCCAAAGCCTCTCTACATCCCTTCTATCTAACTATCCATCTTACCCTCCAAAATAACCATCTAACCCTGTATTCACGAAATGTTATCACGCATATCCCCGTCAAGCCCATGCAGTTTTACATCTATTTTCCTCTCCGTCGGTCCGCCACTAATCGGTATATGGCCGCAAGCCTGGTGACTCTTTCACAAGGCAACCGGTATAACTCTTTCTTATTGTGCTCTACCTTTCCTCCACACACAGTGGTGTATTACAGTCACTTTTTGCTTCCATAAACAAAAAATTCGGCACGAGTATCAATATGGGGACAACTTAGACGGAAGCACCGCTAATACAATGGCTCTACTGAAGAGCCACTAACGAACATCAAAATCGATCCAGATGATCGTCCAGTGCAAGGAAAAGAGGTACAGTATTATTGAACTCAAAAGCACACCAGCAAAATCAAAGGTCGATCAGAGCATTGATGGGCTTAATCCACCTGCACACACTACCATCGAACCGAGGAAAAGAAGAAGCAATTGTGGGGTTTTGCGGGATAGTTATTTAGTTCATAGTCACGCCACTCTCTTTTGAACGGTCGTGCTCCTGTGTTGGCGTAATTATTCCGGCCAGTCCACACCAAAGTGAAGCACTGGACTCGAGTTTCGCTCGTATTGCAGCTCATCAGCGGTGCATATCCAGTGGCCGTGCCGGGATTTGAAACCCGGATGTCTGACAAGCGGGGCGAGCATGTAACTACTGCTACCACTTATTTGAATCAGGCATCCTAAGCCTAACGGCTGTGTTGAGAATTCCTTCACACCCCACCAAACTCTGTACCAACTCAACTCTCTACGACCCCTTTTCAAGAAATAGCCTCCAGTATCTTTCTCAGATACAAACTGTTCATAACTTGTCTTACTTCTCTCTCGGCGCACCTGTTAGCTGCTGAACCAAAGCCAAAATACTTAGAAGTTTTGCTACAAGACGTGATGTTCTGGGGTTGAACGATCCCCTCACACTCCGTAGGGAGTGCTCCTCCGCAACAAAATGCTACAAATGGTCGAATGAATTATGAGCTCACTTCTCACAGATGCCCCCCAAACCCTGCTTGAAACAACTTCTGTTCTTGAGGGAAGTTAATTACTCACCATTTTGTCAGAGGCCTCTTATATCTCGAGGATCATAGGGGAGGCGCTCGGTGTTGCCAACGTCCCATCTGGTGTGGTGTCGGAACTGTTTGCCAGACCCTGAAGCGGAATGGCTCGCATAATATCAGTTTCCTGCTCCTCCTGGATGCAACATAAGCGCCCCATTCGCCAGCCTAGCGCCCGTCAAATAATCCTGCGCGGGTCAACTAGGCAGCCGGCCACTGTTTTTGCTCCCCACCCCTAGTGTCCTCGATCTTGGTTTGCGCAACTATCCTGTCTAGGCTATCCTGTCTGGCGGTGCCCACAATCCAGTAACTACGCCCCTGTCAGCTCGCCGGACCTCCCGTTCGAAGCATTGGAAAACTGATTTACAAGTACCTGATCAAGTACCCATTATCCGCCAAACACTTCACCCAATTAGGCACAGTTTCTTCGTGTCTTCCTGCGTCACAAAACCAAACATACAAACTGCTGTACTTTACCTAGGCGCTGATGGCAGTAACTAGACCGTATACTGCTCAACCCGCTTCTTTCATGCATCCGAACAAGTCTTCAAAATCTCCTAGCCTATCGACGAAAACAACGAAATTACATTTTCATAATCTAGGCGACCACTCGACTGTATTTTCCATCGGTCCTCCAAGCTATGTAAGGGTTTCCCAGTATCATTTACTTTTCGAATCCCCAGCAAAGTCCTACAAGTTTCGGTGTTAAGGTCCATGATATCGCCTATCTTTTACAATTTGTTTTGTCCACCTGAAATGCGCCACCCTAATTTGCTGCTCTAATGATACTAATCAGTGATCCACTCATCCTTCCATCTTGCCACCTGAAAATGACATTCCTTCACACCAAAGGGGCTTGATTAAGGATTTCGTTCTAGATTATCTTTTGGTATGTTAGTCCTCCACTTCCGAAAATGGAGTTTGGGCTGGATGACGTTTTGCACCAGAATTGTACTTAGCTGGACCTATTTGACTACGCTGTGCTGTTCTACACTTCCCGCCGACTTCGACAGAATACTGTATGTTTCCTTCCGCTGAAAAGCAACTTTAATGTGTCATTTCATCTACGGACTGAGGCTCCGGAAAATTTCTGAGGAATGTACATGTTTTCCCCTCGTGAACGTGTCCTGCACAACCTACCTCAAGAATAAGTCATGTACATTCAAACTCCTTTAACCCTAGGTTCGGTGGCCACTTTTCACTCTTCTGCATACTTCCAGCGTCCGGAGACAATTTCGAAACCTTCAAAACCAGGTATCCCGGTTGACTTTTTCTCCTAGATGCCTGCCCCTCTACGGTGTAAATTTCAGGCGCGACCTCCATACCACTCGGTCATCATCACCGTCGCAACATCAGCCATTTAATTCACAAGCTTGTCTCTCTACCCCACACACATACTTCAAGTGTATAAGTCACTATGACTTTCAGCATCTCCAAAAGATAGAGGCGCAAAGAACCCATTGAGGCGGCCCTCACTGGTGATGAACACCGTTGCTCTCACTTTCTCTGTCGGTACTCAGCCCGAATCCGTGATCAGAAACACCGACCAACCGAACGAAAACTACGAGCAATTGCCTCTTTACTTGTGTGCGACCCCAATGGCCATATTCCGATCCGTCTGCGCGAGTTTCCTGCTTTCCGATTCGCGCCGAACAGTCAGAGTCCATCAATTATTAAATTTCTACATCCGCTATAATTCTTGCTTCAGTATCCGCACAATGCAATTGAATTTTCGAAACCTACAACGCGTCCTTTATGCACTAAAAGAGACAAGCAAGTGAGTTTGGAGTACAATTTCATAACTTTCAGGACCATCTAATCATCCCGGGGTCTCAGCAAGGCTTGGAAAGTATTCCGCCAGGGGCATGATCACCCCATATTGCAATGGAGTTCAAGGAGCTGCAAGGAGATAGATTAGATTATAATGATTTTTGGTGTGAGCGTGTATGCGACAATATGCTACATTTTGGCTTGAAAATTTTCAGTTCACTTGCAAAGGTTTTGCAACAAAGGACAATGTGTGGTTAATGGGCCCCTATAATTCTTAAAAATAACCTACGTAATAAGCCATCGCCGATGAATCAACCAGCAATAAGCTTTCCAAGGAAAACAAGGACGATATCTCATATTCTATCCAGTGGGGACTGAAGTGTTTCGATCATTGTTATATTGCACCAGCTAACATGACCCAGATTCTCTTGGCCGTTCGCAAATTTTGAAAATGACGACCGAATATCGTGCAATGTGAACGGAAAAATTATGCGCGACGATTCTAATTTTTCGAAGGTATGCATCTATTTGTCTACACCCAACAGCGTTTTTGCGTAGTTAAGTTTGCAGCAAGTCTTAATATTAGTTTGGTTCAACGCTAGGCGATTTTGTTTGACGCTTAGGTGTGCCCGACACTCGGGAAGCGGATGCCTGCAAACGCACTGCCTTACCGGCCACCGATCGAATACGTTAAGTACTTGAACACCAGCAGTTTGACTAGAAGCTATGGCAAATAGGAGTTTCAAGTGTACAATTTTCGTGCTGTCTAGAACGTGTCTGCATGTTGAGATTTTAGATTTAGAATAGTACCACCCGGCTACGACTGTTGCTGCTATGATCTAAACCAAAGACGAAGAAGGGACAAAAATTGCTTACTTTAGGGCAACATTATTGCGTACATCGAACCAGTGATGGCTCATTAATTATGGTGAACTCTCATATTCCCCAGCAGAACAGGTCGTCTTGATTTTTGGTGTTTTTTACAGGAGTCTAAAGAAGCTCACAATATGAGCTGGGTTGAACAATATAGACTTAACACAGCACCTTCGGTATGTTAGTGTGAGCGACCTAATTTATCAGACGTAGGCTGGAATAAAGCGCTGAATGACCAAAGGCTGAGGTTCAGATTTCGTTATTCCTGGAGATGGAGAAATGTTAAATTTTTAACATTTTAGTACAGCGAATAAAGCCCTCTCGAGGAAGAGAAAACTATACCCTAATTAATATATACTGGGGTCGATGTTAACCAAAAGTACTCTTTACATCTATCACTCAACCAAAGCAAGCGCCCCGGAATAATTCAAGTAGAGGCCCTGGCAACGTGGAAACATTTATATTCAACGTACGGAATGCTTAGCGTTTGATGATACTGGTTGATACCAGAAAGATTATCTACGTATGTTAATCGAATGGAATTTCAGCGTTGAATAACCGCTTTTAATAGAAACCGGCAGTTTTTATGTTAGCATTTCTCTATCAGAGGATCCCACGACTACCAGAAATAAAAATTAAGTCGAAAACACTTTTGAGATCCTACCGCGAGGTAGACAAAAAAAGCATCGATGGATTTAAATAGATATGAGTAGATTTGAAGCTACTGTACTTCGCGAAAAAGTGCCAGAAAAGAGCACGTGCAGGCCGTAAAGTTCGAAGGGCAAATTATTATGTACACTGAGCTGTTTTCTAGATTAGAGGTTATAAACCAAAGATGAGATATCGTCCTTGAGTACCTAAGGGGTTCAAGTAGTAGGAGACGTTCCGGAACAGGAATTGTTACCTGTATACACATACTCATTATTCTATTAGGGGCCAGGGTATTTAAAAATATTTGAATCAGTTAAATACAAGAAAGTTACAGATGTAGCTGCCCGGCTTGCGAGATAAGCCGGATTTTACTTTATGTGGACAATGTAGAAGCATATGATCCATGTATGCTTCGTCGGTGGTAAGCTGTCAGCTGGCGAATGTTTTAGTTCCGTCAACAAAAAGGACATCTTGCCCGCGGCATTACTACATAGATGGTGAGAGACAAGCTTCGACCAGTTATCCACCATTCAACCTTGCACTTGTGGTCAAGAAGCAATACGCAGAAAAGCAAACGTTATTCAGTAATAGAACACTAACAAGAACGCTCTTAAACATTGCAACCTTATGGCTTTGTAACCGAGAGTTTTTTGCTGGCAACCTGTTGTTAACGCGCAAAAGTCGGACAGGTTCAGCCAAATGAGGGTAATGGGTAGTTTTGCTGTATAAGGACATCACTAAAACGTTTGGTGCAATACAATATAAAGTATCCCTGTTCTTGTACAGAACGGTGTTTCTACCATTCTCACTGTACGGTTGGGCCGACTTTAAGGGAGCGGAAATGGTAAATGTGGGCTTTCTGAACATTTGCTAGCAGGCAATGGAATGCCACAGATACTGGTGCCTGTTTCTGCAGTTTTCAACACCTACATAGACAATCTACCTGGCAGCATTTGTAGAACAATTGATACGGCACAGCAGTAAATCAGAGATGGGTAAAAATTTATCCAGAATACCTAAGTTAGAGCAGGTGACTGATTGACGGAAGTCAAGTTAACAATAAACTCAGCAAAATATGCTCCTCAACTTAATCCCAAAACGTTAATGAAAAAACTGCATTTTGTGACCTAGGCATTGCCGCTTTTGGAGAGTTTGTGGGAGGGTAAGAACCAATAAAACTGTGTGCAAATATTACGAAATCCTATAGGCCTAGTGTCACCTACGGAACGTGGAACCGGATAGGCTATTTCGGAGCAGCTAATTACGTTTGTTGAACTTGCAACTGAGTGCGATGTTCCCGCCTAATTATCCTAAACAAAATTCTGAAGTATGAGAATGAAGTTAATAAAACGTTTGACAACAGCATATAAACAATACCAATCACCCCTACATCACGATTAGCTTGCTACAAAACGCCTTTGTGATCTTATAAACCCTAGATGTTTTCCAAAGTAGAGGAAAATCTGCCGGTGGCTCTGCATTTCAATCATAAAAAAGGCCCGAAAGTAGCAAAAACACAAATTTAGAGTATTGCTTTAAGGAAAATGCCTGTTGCTTGTAGCTTTTGGTTTTTCAGTTAGTTATTAGTTGGTTTCCAAAAGCTTCTATTCTTTCGGGCAGTGAATGTGTGGCAAAGCGCCTCAGAATAGCACCTTCCAAGCACATGCTTGATAGGCAATTTTTAGTAAAGTAAGAGTAAGAGTGCGGGCCAGATATGAAAAATGCGCACCCTTCACATCCTTCGAACCTCACCAACCTAACAATGAAGTAAGGCCAACGTTAGATGCCAGCGATAGCTTTGAGTTAGTGACAATTACAGACAGCTTATAAATAAGTAAAAAGGGCGGGATAAGGAACATGTGTGAAGGACCTGAAGCTGGATCAAACGGTGCACTTATATTCAGTATTAGATAGGGGCGAGAAAGGTCACTATGAAGTGAAAAACCTTGACGTCAGTCCAAAAAGCATGATTACACCTCAAGACCTGGTATGAGCTTTTCAGTATCTGGCTACATGCTATAACAGGTTTGCAAAACAACTGTAATGTTTACTGAACTTCACCTTGACCTGGTAGCATCAAATTATCCTCAAAGGACAGGACGAGGTTTAGAAACTCAGAGGTTTTGCTAATGATAAGCAATTTGTTTATTTTTAATTGTAGACATTGGATGTTTGCTGTCCCTTAATCCCAACATCCCCAGACATTCTACAGGATCCGCAATATGAGAAACTGAGTGACAACCCAGCAGAAACGAAATTCTTGAAAAGACTAGAAAGATACTCGCCTTTTTAGTTTATCTGCGATGGAGTTCCTAGGAGACATAACCAGTAGTAAAGCCTGATACGTGGCACTGAAATTTAAATGGCTTTTGATACACAAATTAATTTACGATATTTGTATTTCAAAGCAAATTCAAGTGGCACAGCAAACAGAGAACAACCAAGGCATGTACAGAATTGTCGTGAAAGGACGCAAAATATTACCACAGTGCAAGTATGTTCTTAACTGACAATTGGGAGCGGGACGTGCAACAGAAGGTATGCAGACTGCACGGCGTGAAATTCAATCTTAGATAAAATACATGTTAAAATGCGATAGATGTGGAGCAAAGACCAAAAGCAGGGGTACATTAGTCGACTTAATTTTGGTCTGTGGGCAGTTTTAGAAAGCCATGCTTGCCAAGAACGTCCTTAAAATTAGGATGGGCCGATTGTTGACATTAACCGACCACAGCAGCAACGATTTGTTTATAGTTAAGGTTAACTTTATGTCTTCTAACTGGGATATTACAGCCTTAGATCGTACGTCAGGACGAGCAAGATCAAGAATACTACTGTCTTCTGATATCATACGACTGCTTTTGAACCGGAAACTTGTCAGATGTCTGAGGAAACAAAGAAGACCAAATCAAGCTGAAAATATAATCAAAAACTTAAACCTTGTCTACGCTGCAATAACTAATAACATCAATCTAGACAGAACAAATTTGACCTTTTTTTCACGGCTGTTCAACTCTGCCGGGGTAGTCCCCCTCAAGATCTACAACAAAGTGTCACAACAGGCAAAAAGCGACCAGTGTTTGCTGTATAAAGCATTCAAACATCAAATGCTTCTGATCATCGTAATGTATTACTGGAGCTTGCCTCGCACCTTCTGTTACTAAATGAGACTAAACCTAAGTTCACCAGTCGGACTTAAAACACTAACCAACCTTATTAATTTGTTGAGAATACGGTCTTCTGCTGCTTGTCGGTTGAAACTTCCAACAACTTCCCTCCTTAGTCACATGCTACTTAGAAAATGGTCAGCGTTTGAAGGAGACAGTTATGATAATTCCGATATAGACTTTGTTTGTGAACTTCCCACTATGGTTGGCACGAAAGCTTATTTTATTCTGAGGAACACATAATAAACTTGCAAACGCAACCACTGTGTTACAGAGCTTTCGCCTTATAATGATGGGCGACACTCCATCGTTTTTTCAGGCCTGAACATTGTATTGAATTCCAATCTCAATCTCTCTAACTTGGAGAAAATAATTTAAGTTAAGAGCCACCGAAATTTACTAGACCATACTGAACAAGATGATTTGATTTGTTGCTGTGCCAACAGTGAGAAAGATCTGACTGTGGTATCCACTCTGTTATCAGTCACTCAATACAGCTAGAAACTGAGAGAGGGAATCGAAAACACTTACTTGAAAGTTCATAAACATGATGTTTTTGAAAGACATTCTACCAAATCTGGTGACATTGACAAACACGGCATCAAGAAACTCGCTCGGCTTATTCTATTAGACCTTGTCTAGGGTAAAATTCTGAAGTCGAGGAAGAAAAACACATATGTACGACGTAAATATGGAATCAGAAAGTGCTTTCGTACTTGGTGTATACTGTTCTGCTCTGAAGAATTATTTGCCCAATTTAATGGCATCATATAGCTCAGCTAACGGTCCGTTTTCCTCATAGATCTCACAAATAAACACAAAATG